CCCCTCTCAGTCTTCTCTTTTCTAAACTAAACAAACCCAATAGTTAAGGCTGCTCAAGTGTTTTTGCTTTAAATGGTCATTTTCAGAGCCTTTACAGCTTCAAACTTCACCTTCTTGGCTGAAATTTGGCAAGTTTGTTGTCAATTTGACAGCAAATAAGTTTGAAAAGCCTGATTACATTTGAGTTACAGTACACTTCCATTTATCCAAACGGCCTGGGGGACAGCCAAAGTGTTTGGAGAACCAGGTGTTTGGATATACAGAAGTTCTATTTTGAGCTGCAGTGTCACAGATATAGAAATCCTAGTTATCCGAATCCAGGGTTGCCCCCCAGATCTCTCTATATTACTTAATTACTTGCTAATACCGTCCCAATTAACAAGCCTCTAAGAGAATCTGTTATCACTAACAAACAGTTTTGTATTAATAAATGCTAATTACACTGTACACCTCTACCCCGATATAACGCTGTCCTCGGGAACCAAAAAAATCTTACCACGTTATATCGAACTTGCTTTGATCCACCGGAGTACACAGCCCTGCCCCCACGGAGCACTGCTTTACTGCATTATATCCGAATTTGTGTTATATCAGGTCGCGTAGAGGTGTATTAATGTAATGCTAAGACAATAATTGAGAAGTTATTAACTAACACAAGGCTAAAGGGGGGCATACTGTAGATTCCAATAACTACAATTTTTGGATAAATAGCTCTTGGAATGGGAAACTGGAGTGTAAATTATTTATATGTACTTTTGGTGCACCAGCAGCCAGTGGAAACCTGGTATAAAAGACTCCCTCACTCAGATCTCTCTTGCCTTTTCAGATAAGTGTTCTGCACCTGCTACAGCTTCCGGATCAATTTTGAGAGATGTCCATCCAGAAAAACATTAGCGTGGCCTACCATCTTTAAATCTAAACCAATGATTTCTCATTAAGTTACTTACATTGTTTTCCTGGTTCTTGTTATTCTTAAGGAGAGTGATAACACAGTTATGAATGAAGAAAGCAAGTGTCAGGACCCCTGTGAGCTGAGGAAACTGAATTCTAAACTCTAGGAAAACAAAAGAAAATAAAAATTAGTTTTTATATTTGCATCAGGGAAATAAACAACAGCTGCCAAAGTGACACTCAATTTATTTCTAGATGTTAGGAATTGCTATTCTGGACCAGGCCAGTCCATTTGGTTCAGTATCTTGTCTCAGACAGCAACCAATTCCAGATGCTTCAGCAGAAATAGCAAAAAACCTGCTCTCAGGGAAAGTTTCTTACTAACTCCCAGTACTTAGAGGTCTTGTTATTCCATGATTTGAACAACATAAACTTTTCTGCTTCTCAACACTGCAGTTCATGAACATCCCAATGCCTTGATGGGGCAACCAGTTTTGGAGACACTGCATGTGTACCAGCAGGGGGAGGAGGACAGGAAAAGCTTTTTGCTATGTGATAGACTCTTGTTGACTAATCCAGAGAGCATCACCAGAGTCGAACTCTGAGGAGACTTCTGACCCTCACTTTAGGAGGACAAGGGACATAGCTATTGCTGTTTACAAGAAAGGGGATTCAAATGATTGCTTACAAAATAAAGGATTAGGAAAGCCTCAAGATACCATCTCGACTGCCCTTTAAATGGGAGACTATAAGGGGCACCAGCCAACCAACGTCTTTACCCCCCGAAAAACAGCACTGCTGCTTTTAGCGTCATTCTCAGAAGTGTTCTATCCAATAGACAGTACTTCTGGGAATGCTGCTACTAGGCCAGGAGTGTTAATTTGCTTATGCTAGAACATCATTAAGCACCATTTTGGCAGGTAGTACCAAAGTACTAGCAAAGAGATAGCTGGTCTAAAGTAATAGAGCACTTGTGTATCTCTAGGGTGTTATGCTGGTTTCACCGTCTTTCCTTAATATCTTATTAGCATTGAAGCTGTACCAATGCTAACTGAAAGAGAGGAGAAAAAAAAAGTCTCACTTTAGGCTTAGTTCCCCACGAATAATCACTCATTACTCTGTGTTGTATCCTTCCCACCATAGTGACATCAGCTGAAGCTATGCTGTATAGATCATAAATGCATGTTCTACATATGCAAGTCTGGCTATATCTTTGGCATATTGGTCATCTTGAAGACATAATTATAACCGCTTATGATGACATACAGCACTATGCGTTGCTGTAAATCAATCTATGCCAAGGCTGCTTAATAGAACATTGGGTCTGAACCTCAAGTACACTTGAAACCAGTCTAGTTTCACATTACTGCTGGTTAGCAGCCCTGGGGTATGTTTGCTTGAGTTTTGTTCACAACCAGACTATTCAGCAAGCTTGGAGATTAAATTTTTTGGACCTGTTTGGATATTCATGAATACTCTGAGACGGTTTGCTGGTGCAATTCAAAAATCAAACAATGTTGTCAGACAAAGTTCAGTTTGGGGTTTCTCAGAGAGAGGGGGCAGGGGCCTGTATTTTAGTTGAGCTCCCTGATAAAAATGTGTTTGGTGTATCCAGTTGTAACCCTAGCCTCTATGTCTATACTACCTCTCCGGATCGGCGGGCAGCGATCAATCCAACAGGGGTTGATTTATCGCGTTTAGACGCGCTAAATTGACCCCAGAGCGCTCTCGCGTCGACTCCTGTACTCCACCGCTGTGAGAGGCGCAGGCAGAGTTGACGGGGGAGTGGCAGCAGTCGACTCACCACAGTGAAGACACTGCAGTGAGTAGATCTAAGTAGCTGAAGTTGCTTAACTTAGATCGTAGACTAGGGCAGAGACTGTCAAGAAGCAGCCAACCGTAGCACTTCATCATTCTTAATTTCATTAGCTAGCTGGAAACCAACTATTGCTGGAAACCAACCAACCATTAGCTGGAAACCAATTATTTTAGGACTTAATATAATCACACATATTACTATAGGATTTTGGCAAGGGAAAAGCTCCCAGGCTCCAAGTCCTAACTTCTGGATGTGTGGATAGCAGTCCACCCTGTCTATACAAGTCATTCATCAGAGCAAAGACAACCTTTTTGTCTCATTAACTGACTCTGAGTGGCCCAGGCTAGCAAGATACTGTGAATTCCATCGGTCAGTGGAAATAATGCTATACTATCAGAGGTATGTAATTATTATAGAGGTCAGGCATCAAATGCTTTGAGTGGAAATTGTTACAACAAATAAAACTAACTGGCTTGTCCCTAAAACACTCCTCTTTATTCCCAGTCCTCTCCCTCTGCTGCATTTAGAGAGAAGGTTAGATAGCACGGACAGGACACTGTGTGTTGATGATCTCAGAATGTTGAGATCAGTAGCCCAGTAGGATCCTTAGGGACTTACCAACCACATTCTTGCACTTTGTACACCCTAAAGGCATATGTTCTGGTCTTGTGTACAGCTGTACTCAGCAAGAATTTACTGCCTCTGAGATGAGCGTTGTAACCAGAAAGGAAAGTTATTTTGGCTGAGATAATGGAACTACTTTATCCATATTCCCCCCTTGTTGCCTGGTACTGAGGTCCTCTTTCCAAGAACAGGCACCACTGACCTCCATTCATTAAAACGTTAAACAAAAATCAGAGGTTAGGTACTAGCTGGAAAACTGATTTTAGAGCAGTATTCTTAGCCAAGAATACACAGAACACATTGGCCAGGAGGTCTAGTTTCTCACCTTCTACACCAGTGCAATTTGAGTTTAACGAAACTAAATCCACACACAACCCTCCCTCCTCCCCCCAAAAACACCACCACACAACTGTGGCTGTGTAATATGTACATAATACTGTGCTGTGGTAGAGAAGTATATTAAGATAATGTCTATCTTATGTCAGCTTTCTTTGCAAGACTCATCACCTCCAGCTATGAGTCAGCTAATGTAGCTGTAAAAACATTCCAGAGAAGTTTGTAGCAGATTTCATGGAAATACAGCCCATGGTGTCAAGCTGTCCTTCTGGGTAATGGCAAACATTTATTTCCTTATGTTACAGTAAAATTAATATAGTGATTTTATTTGGCTTTTACTGGCAAGTATGTATTTTCTAGAAGCATTTGCCTATTCATTAATCCCCCTCTATGCAGAGTGTCTCACCACAGATAGATAAATTGGTTCACTAGCTCAGGGCCTGTTGGGTGCTAGATGCCCAATAACCTATAGCTACAAAAGACTCCCACTTCTACCCAGGGCCGGCTCTGGCTTTTTTGCCGCCCTAGGCAAAAAAGCCACCTGCCGCACCCCCCCACGTCCCCCACAATCAGCGCAGCAGGGGAGAGCACCGAGCCCGGCCGGGGCTCTCCACTCTCCCGGGCGGCCAGAGCACCGGGGGGAGGGTGGCGAGCACGGCCGGGGCCCTGCCGCGCCGCCCCAAGCACATGCTTGGTGGGCTGCTGCCTGGAGCCGGCCCTGCTTCTACCTGTAGCTGCCCAGGAGACCTCCCCCCCGTCAGAGATAGGCCAAGCCACACACCCACACCATAGAACTTGCCCAAAATAAACTTCTAGAGCAGATCAGGATTTAAAAACTGACAGTGATGGAGAATCAACCACAACTGTTGGTAAATTGTTCCAATGGATTGATTACTCAGTGTTAAAAACATACACCTTATTTCTAACTTGGATCACGTTATACCCTTTCTCTGCTAGTCTGAAAACCCCCAATAGCAAATATTTGTTCCCATTGTAGGTACTTGTACATTGTAATCAAGTCACACTTTCTCTTTGTTAAGCTAAATAGACAGAGCACCTGGAGTCTATCACTATAAGGAATGTTTTCTAAGCCTTAATAATTCTCATGGCTCTTCTCTAAACTCCCTCCAATTTATCAACCTTCTTCCTTATTTGTGGACACCTGAACTGGACACAGTATTTCAGCAGCAGTCACACCAATGCCAAATACATAGAAAAAATAAACCTCTATCTACTACTACCTGAGATTCCCCTGTTTATGCAGCCATGATTGCATTAGCCCTTTTGGCCACAGCATTGCACAAGGAGCTCGTGTTCAGTTGACTATCCACCACGACCCCAAAAATCTTATTCAAAGTCACTGCTTTCCAGGAGAGAGTCCCCCATTCTGTAAATATGGCCTACATTTTTCCCCTCAGATGTATACATTTAGCCATATTAAATGCATAGTGTTTGCTTGCACTCAGCATATGAAGCAATCCAGATAGCTCTGTATTAGTGACCTGTCTTCATTATTTACCACTTCCCCAATTTGTGTCAAGTGAAAAAAGCTTTATCAGTGACATTTTCTTCCAGGTCATTGATAAAAATGTTAAATAGCATAGGGACAAGAACAGATCCCTGCGGGAGCCTACTAGAAACACACCTGCTCAAGGATGATTCTCCATTTGCAATTACATTTTGAGACACATCAGCCAACTTTTAATCGATTTAATATATGGCAGGCTAGTTTTATACTGTTCTAGTTTTTTTTTTTTGTTTTAATCAAAATATCACATGGTATCAAGTCAAATGCCTTGTAGAAGTTTAAGTATATTACATCAGCATGGTTAGCTTTATCAATGAAACTTTATTTTTTTGAGATTACAAAAGAGATCAAGTTAGTTTGACAGGATCGGTTTTCCATAAAGTCATGTTAATTGGCATCAATTACATTGCCCTCCTTTAATTCTTTATTAATTGAATCCTGTATCAACCATTCTAATATCTTGCCAGGGACCTATGTGAGACTGTCAGGCCTATAGTTAACCAGGTCATCCCATTTATGCTTTTTAAATACTGGCAAAACATTAGTTTTCTATCAGACTTCTGGAACTCCCCAGTGTTCCAAGACTTCTTGACAAATCAAGATTAATGGTCCAGAGAGATCTTAAGCAAATCTTTTAAAACCCTTGGACACAAGTTCTCTGGACCTGCTGATTTAAAAATGTCTAACTTCAGTAGCTGCTATTTAGCATCCTCCTGAGAAACTAGTGGAATGAAAAGAGTATAATCATCATATATGACATGTCTACATCATCTGTTGATTTTCTAAATACAGAACAGAAATATTTATTGAACACTTCTGCCTTTTCTGCAATATTATTGATAATTCTGTAATTTCCATCTAGTAATGGATCAATACCATTGTTAAGTATGTTAGGAACAAAAAGAATTTTAAGCACTTCTTCTTACTGTCCATAACTTTGCTGGCCATAGATTTCTCCATGTGTCCCTTATCAATTTTCTACAATTCCTAACTTCTAATTTATATTCATTATCATCAGCTTCCCCTTTCTTCCATTTCTTCTATATTTTTGTAGCTGCCCTCACTTCCCCTCTAAACCAGGTTTTTTAAAAACAAAAAACAAAACAACAATACACAGTCTTCTTCCTCGATTGTGGCTTTTTGACTGATCTCTAACTGATCCTAATCAACATCCTAACGGAGGAAGTGAGTGATACTCTGTGGCAATGGTGGTCATTTAACTTCACTGATTAGACAGATTCCACCACTGCCCATCATTTGTGGAACCATCCACCTTCTAGTCCTCTTATTTTACTATATCCATTTAAAATTTCTTCACATATTTGATTATCCTAGTTGTCTTCTTCGGGTCATTGTTCTTTGTCGTAACAATAGCCAGTGTCACATTTGTAAAGCTGTTGTTGTAACTTGTATCATGACTGGGAAACCTACATTTTTTTTTCCTTCTGAAAAGCAATAGAAGGAAGATGGAAACCCACAAGGGAAACCAAACATACCAGATGGATGAATGTCCCCGAGCTTCACATTATGCTTGAGTTAGTAATTAAATATTAATGAAGGGCAAAATTACTCCCCTATTCCCAGATGAAGTCAGAACGATCTAATTAGATACTATAGGCATACATCTCTTCAGAGCTCCAATGTAATGCTGCCTCTTGTAAAGAGGGGGATGACTTTAGTGTCTCTTCCCAAGTCTTCCACAAGAAAGAAAAGAAACAGAAGTTGTTTTTCTCTTTTATGGATTATCCTCCTACCCAATTCATCCAGTGGCAATAAGTTCTTGTGTTTGTGACACCCCATATATTGGCCTGTAATATCCCTTAAACAAATTGGCAACCAATGCTGCCAAGAAGAGACAGAGAAAGGTATATGACTGTTAATGGGAGTTTAAAAATAAAGGGCTAAATTATGGGTTGAGGACCATGAGAAAGTGGGGAGTAGGTGTGAGGTGCACTTGGACACATGGCGATGGGTACCATATAAGAACTTAGTGGAGTACTTGCTACACTTTATAAATCAATCTCTTAGGTTTGTCTATCGTGAGTACTACTTTAATAGTGAAACATGGAAGAAGGTGCCAGGAGGGATGGGATCATGGCCTCACCTTGCCTATCCACAGACAAGTTTTCTGAGCTGGTGCATAATGGAGGTACCAGGCAATGACTAGCCTTCTACCCTGTGTTTCTGGACCCCAGGCAGCAATGTTATTACTATCTCCTGCGTAGGAGAACTGGGAAGGAGGAAGAAAGGGGTTCCCTGTACCTTTGTCTCTCAACTTTCAGGAGGCACTAATAAGCGCAGTCTTCCGCAGACCCTCTGGAGGCATTAGCAGAAAACAACATTTACTTACCTATCGTACCTCACAGGGATGTTGGGAGGATAAAAATTAAAGATTAAAAGCACAATATCCATGCTTAAAATTAATCACTCTGTTTAATTTTAGATATCTTACCTGGATACAAAAAAACTATTAGCTGTAAACCAGTTGAATTCTAAATGGAATCCCAGATGTGCAGCCTTCAGAGTAACAAGAAAAACTAAGTAGACAACTGAAACGGTACCTACACACACAAGAGAGACAATCATCCATCATCACCAGGATAAATTGTGATAGACAGTTATTTATGCTCCATTCTATATTGGTCCCTCTAGTTAGTTGCCACCAGCCCAAAGAAATTGGGGTGCTAGTCATCCTGAAGACTGCAGGACAATCCCAATTTTTTAAACACTAGTTCTGTGATCCCAAATTCCCTTTTCTCCTTGTAAAGAGGGAGCGAGCTGCTGCACTACATCCATTTATTTAAATTTTAATGGAGTCTAGTTCCCTTGACAGGTGCTGGATTAATAACCTAGGAAACTAATGTCCCCAATTATCTACAGCACTGGTTGAGCATGGGCAGCAGAAGAATGAGATTCCTAACCAACTTCCTCTAGCATATGTGCAGGGACTATCACTTGTAGTGCAAGGTAGTTTTCTCCATACCCATTTAGTTGTTGGCCTTTTGGGTGAAATAATTCACCAAGATGCCAATTAGTGCAAACTGCAACTGTGAACTCTCCAGTAAGACCAGGATTGACACTAGCTGCAGTGACCTTTGGTCACTTCTGACTTATACCTCATCTGAGCTAGCAACCTAGACATGACAGGATCCACATTTTATTACATCATTCCCAGGAGTCATACTACACCCACAATTATGCTCCCATGGACACACAGAGGATCACATATAAAATCAGAGATGGGTAACAATACCAAGTCTACAGCCTTAGTCTGACTACAACTGCATGAGCGAGTGTGCAGTTCTGGCCCCCACAGTTTAAGAATAGAGGGAAAGAAACCCAGAAAATTATAAAGAAGGGCAATAATAATTATTCAGAGACAAAGATAATCTGTCCATTTATTTTAATGCTATAAAATTGGGATGTACCCTGATGCTACAGTGATTAGCATCAGAGAAAAGCTTATAAATATATGTGGGGGGAAAAAAGTGCAGGATTTATATAGTTTAGAAAACAGGCCGGGGGGGAGGGAAGACAGGATTTCAGTTGAGAACTATCTTCAAGGTAACAAAATAAATGAAGGGAATTGTTCTTTATATTCAGTGAATGAATAAGTAGTTCTGAACATGAAGATCAATTTAAAGCTAACATACTGCACAATCTCCTAATGTTCTAAACTGGCCTAGGTTTCTGTATGTCTAAATAAATAAAATACTGTCAATTTGCTGACTTATAAGCATTCAAAAATTAAAATCTACAACTATTTTCTTCAGCCTTAGCTTGTAGCTCTCCTTGGGGCTTAAAAATAAAGCCAACACTGAAAGGCTGATGCATTACACCATGAATTATTATACGTAATGCTTTATAAGCAGTTTCAGTTTAGTGTTCTAGATCGTATTAGTTTTGAATTGTTAAATAATTAACAATGAGATAATGGAAGACCATTTCCAGGCATAAACACAAGGGAGGGTTGAGATTCTGCTGAATGCTGTTGTGCGGATATTATTTTCTATGTAAAAGACTAATAAGAACAGTATATTTAACCACTTAATATTTACTCTAAATACAATGAAACCTATTTAAAGGGTTACCCAAGGGAGCAGCAATACCCAACTCCCTTGCAGAGGCTGATCATTCACTAGAGGTCAAACAAACAAAACAGTACTGGAAACCTTGGAGATATTTCAAAGTTTGCTTAAGACAAGGAGTTGGCCACTGGAGGTGGGGTCATTACTACAGGTTTCGCTGTATTTGCTATGTATTTTATCAATAATAAATGAACAATACAGGAATGTTATTACCTACCTAGGATGTTAAACTTGGCAAAGAAAGAGGGAGACTTAAGATTTAGAAGGGGCAGAACAACAACAATCAGATAAAATGGTACAGTTCGTGATTTGCTCCACCACTCCTCAAACAGCTCAAAACTTGTGTTGTTGTTGTTGACAAAAGGAAACAGCCCACTTTTGTTGCCCGGTTGATCCTCATTGGCAGTACCTGGACAGATAACTGCAAGAACAAACAAACAAACAGGGCTTTGTTTACACAAAAGCTATGCAATGAATCAACAGATTCGGTACCTAAATCTCCCAGGGAGTAAGTTTACCACTGGGAGCCTAGGAGCACTCAGAAGCACCACTCTGGCAGCTCAGCTGCTGCTCGTCTGCTTCCTTCCATCCATTAGGGCCCACCACTAAGTCTACATTATGCTTGGAGCTGGAGGTGTGATTCCCAGCTTGAACAGAACATATTTGTGCTGGGGCATTAAACACAGTAGCATAGCCCCTATAGCATGTGCAGCAGCAAGGAGTGGCACAGGCTAACTACCCTGAGCCTAAACCCACTAGACTTCATAGGGATGTACTTGGAGCAGTTGGCCTGTGCTGCCACTGCCCATGATATCATGGCTACACTACTATTTTTAGCATACTAGCTTGATGAGAACTAGTATAAGCATGTCTAGGTGAGCTGGGAATCACTCCCCCAGCTTCAAGTGCAGACATAGCCTAAGTTTTCACTGCTGGGCCATACCCTGTTCTCCCTGCACTCTCAGCTGGTACCACCTTCACCTCAGCACTGAGTGCGGAGAGTTGACATAACTTAACAGCTGAATGTGAGGCTATACAATACCAACTAGCCTGCAGTCTGAGCGGACTGCTGCACAGGATCAACATCCAAGGGTATGGATACAGGACATGCGTGCATAGCTGTCTGTATGCATGTGTGTGCATGTAGCTGTGTTTACTCCATTGTGCATATATGTGTGCCTTTGTGTGGGTCTATGTCTGAGCAGCTTGCCTGTGCTGCAGTGCATGCACACATAGCAGTGTCTGCAAAACTGCCTCTGTGCATATGAGCAAATACATGGCTGAATGCACAAGTGAACATATCTGGCTGTGCATGTAAGCTGGGTGCATGGGTGCCTGCATTAACAGTAGCGTACACATGGTTTTGTGCACATCTCAGAGCAAATAATCAGTGGCTGTTCTAAAACTCCTGAATTAATAATTTACAGTGTCATATTGTTGGTGTACCAACCACAGCCACTACACATTAGGGAGGAGGAGACACCTAGAATAGGAGGCCCTTAAAATGTTTACATTTTAACTTATGGAGTGTACTTGGGGCTTTTTGTGGAAAAATGTAAATAGCAATTCCTGTCTTATATGTTGAAATATGAACCTGTCCTAATGTTCTCCTAGTCTCCATTTATACCTTTGTACTTCATAATGCTTTGTACCCTGTTAATCTCTTCCTCCCACGCTGGCAGCATGCCTGCCAGGTTACAATAACCTAAAGACAAAAAACTTTAGACAGTATTTTGACTTTTCCTGAAATTTAAAGCGACAGAGTAATATTAATTACTGTTTTCTAATTGGTTTTCTCTCCATTGTTTCACAACCCCTTGAAAAATGCTTTTGTCTCTACTGATTAGATCCCTTTCTGTTTAGCAGAAGTATTCGGGGCTGCCAAGTGACATTCAAGCATCTGACAGCCCTGTCCTGCCTGCCTGCAGAAGCTGCAGTTGCACTTTTTGGTCACTGGAGAAGATTGTGGCACATGGCTTCAGGCAGCCTGACAGAATGTCTGCCTCTCCTCTGGCTGCACCTCCTGCTGGATCTGAATGGGGAAAGGTGTGGCAATAGTGAGAGAAAGTGCAGGAGCAACCAGGGTGGCAGCAATAGTAGTGGGTAACCTGGCTGGCAGGGACTGTAGGTAACGGAGCCCCTGAGTGCCTCAGGCCACTTCCCAGATTGACTCTCATGGAGATACTGGGCAATCTGCTGCCGCAGGTTCTTTGGCAGAGCTGCTTTGTTTCTTGCCCCGTTAAGGGTAACTTTCCCACACCACTCTGCTGTCACTGTGGGGTGGGACCATTGCTGTACACAGGCAAGCCGTACAAGGGCCAGGGTAGAAGCTGCAGTCTTGGAGAAGACCCTCACTTGATTCCCTGCTCACCCTCAGCAGCGAGATATCTTCCCTAATGAACACAGCCTGTGGAAAATGTGGGGACAGGAATGATTATAAGGCACCCCCTACAGTGCTGGCTCTCCCCAAGAGCGACGTGCCCAGTGTCCAGTACATTCCTGGAACACTGATTTCCCCTGCCCCTGCGGTTACTCACCATTTTGGGGGTCTTGTGGCTCATGTGTGCTTGCCTGGGGTCAGCCAGTTAGTGACAGGTATGTGAATAGAGGCTGTGTTTTAAATCAGTGGTCTGTGTGTTGCAAACAATACGGCTTCTGTAAAATGTTGCATTTTGGCTTCACAGATATGACCTTGGGAGCCCAGCCTCCCTCTTTGTTATCACCAGCTGAACAGAATTAGAAAGTGGCCACTAAGAACTAAAGAGACTTTCTGCATGAGGTCATGATGCACTCTGCAGCCAAAAAAAAAAAAAAGGACACCACAAGAAGTGAAGGAGTAATGGGACAGTGAGAAGAGAATGCGAAGCGTCAGAACCAAGCCACGGAGTGGCTCTTAAACGCTATGGAGCGCCAAGTGGACACGCTCCAGGCGCTACTAGCACTGCAAACTGAGCAGCTCTGCGCCCACCCTCCCCTGCAGCCACTGTCACAAAACTCTTTCCCAGGCGCCCCACCCCTACCCATACTGCCCACACACTCTGATCAACCTCCTGGCTACAGTCTGTACCCGCTGCATTCCACTCCTACCCCATACTCCCAGTACCCACTGCACTCAACACCTGTTCCTCTGCAGTTTAGCCCTGCTGAAGTACAGTACCCACTGCACTGTACTCCAAAAGGACAAGGCTGCATAGGATACCTGGACATACACAAATCTTTAACCATCCCAGGACCCCACCTCCTCCTGGGACCCTCCCTTCTCCCATCCCCCACAGTGCTGATGTGTTTTTTTGTTTGTCTCTCTCCCCCCTCCAGTTGTGTTTTTTAATAAAATAGTTGTTTTGGTTTGAAAGCTCTCTTTATTCCATTAACTGAAAGCAAACCGAGCCCGCAAAGCAGCAGGCAATTTTCTTACACCTCGATAGTGCATCATCTGCACCACTCACAATCACCTCCTAGCATTACAAGCACAGCACTCCTGAGCATAGCAACAAATATTAGTGGCTTTCAGCTTCAAATTGCTGCCTCAAGGTATCCCTGATCCTTATGGCCCCACACTGTGCCCCTCTAATAGCCCTGGTCTCTGGCTGTTCAAATTCAGCCTCCAGGTGCTGAGCCACAATGGTCCACCCCGGCTGAAGCTTTCACCCTTCCCTTCAATTATGATGGAGTGTACAGCACACGGCTATAAGCATAGGAATATTGTCATCAGCCAGGTCCAGCCTCCCATATAGGCAGCACCACTGGGCCTTTAAATGGCCAAAAGCACACTCGACAGCCGTTCTGCACTTGCTCAGCCTGTTGTTGAACCACTCCTTACTGCTGTCAAGGTGCCATGTGTATGGCTTCATAAGCCACAGCATTAAGGGGTAGGCAGGGTCTCTCAGAATCCCATTGAAAATTTCAACTTCCCCTACGGTAATCTTCTGGCCCAGGAAGAAAGTCCCTGGTTGCAGCTTCCTGAACAGGCCAAAAGAGGTGTGCATCATGCACCTTTCCGGGCCAGCCTGTGTTAATGTCCGTGAAATGCCCAGTGATCCACAAGCGCCTGGAGAACCATTGAGAAATACACCTTCCGATTAATGTACATGGTGGCTAGGTGGTCGGGTGCCACAACTGGAATATGCGTGCCATCTATCGCCCCTCTGCAGTTAGGGAAACCCATTTGTGCAAAGCCATCCACAATATCATGCACATTGCCCAGAGTCATGGTCTTTCGGAGCAGGATGTGGTTATCAGCCCTGCACACTCCCGTCAACACAAGTCCAACGGTAGATTTTCCCCACTCCAAACTGGTTAGCAACCGGTTGGTAGCAGTCTGGAGTTGCCAGCTTCCACAGTGCAATTGCCACGCACTTCTCCAACAGGGCAGCTCTCATTCTCATGTCCTTGCACTGCAAGGCTGGGGCAAGCTCATCACATAGTGGTTTTCCTCATCCGAAAGTTCTGCAGCCTCTGCTCGTCATCCCAGACGTGCAGGACTATGTGATACCACCACTCAGTGCTTATTTCCCAAGCCCAATAGGACCACAGGAGCCACTGTGGTCCGCACCTCCGTGAATGACACAAGCAATCTCTTGTCGTAGCTATTACATGTGGCGAGATCAATGTTGCACTCCTCATGCCTTTGCAGTTTAGGGAATAACTCCACTGCCACTTGTGACATGTTGTTCAGAGAAAGCAGCATATTGGTCAACTGTGTGGAATCCATTCCTGAAGACCAAAGAGGCAGAGGGTGCAGTACACAAAACCATTGAAAGACGGCGACAAATGAGGACTGAAGCACAGGTATTGCTGGGATGCAAAGCAATGCATCATGGGGCATTGGGACAGGACCTAGGATCCCCTGTGACCCCCTCCGCCTTCCCACAACTCTTAGCAGCAGAAGAGGAAGCGATGCTCTGTGGAATAGCTGTCCAGAGTGCACTGCTGCGAATACCGATGCAAGTGTGAACATGCTATTGTGCAGGCAGCAGACAGTGTGAACACACAACAGCAGTTTCTCTTCAGCGCTCTGAGCGGCGCTGTAACTGCTGGTGCTGTAACTCTGCCTGTTTAGACATACCCAGAGTTAGTGTGGCTTTTTAGTGTAGGGCTGTGTAAAGTATTTGCAGAGTACAAAAACCCATTCAAATTCAAGAGAAGTTTGGGTTTTATGATGAAAGGCTCGCAGAGCTGGGCGGAGCGTTCCCTCAGCCTCTCCTGTCCTGACAGGAAACTCCAGGCTCCAGGATTTCCCTCCTTAACTGCTAGTGAGAGAGAGATACGCCCTCAAGCTTACAGAGAGTTCTTCTTCGGGTCTGAATTTTCACCTTGCAGGTCTAAAGAAGAGCTTTATGTAAGCTCAGAAGCTTGTCTCTCTGACCAACAGAAGTTGGTCCAATAAAAGATATCACAGTAGAACAGTGGTTCTCAACCTAGTTACCATTGTGGGCCACATCCAATACTACCTGTATGGCCCTGAGGATGTCACATAGGCCGCAACTGTGTGCTGATTAGGCCACAGATTAAGAACCACTGTTAAGAACCACTTCAAGAAACTAGAACCTCAGAGTTATGAGCACCAGAGTTATGAACTGACCAGTCAACCACACATCTCATTTGGAAGCTTAAGTACATAATCAGGCAGCAGCAGAAATATTAAAAATAAATACATACAGTACTGTTAAATGTAAACTACTAAAATTTATATAACATATATAAAAAAGAAAGCATTTTTCTTCTCCATAGTAAAGTTTCAAAGCTGTACTGTATTAAGTCAATGTTCAGTTGTAAACTTTTGAAAGAACAACCATAACATTCTGTTCAGAGTTACGAACAACCGCCATTCTTGAGGTGTTCGTAATTCTGAGGTTCTACTATACCTCACCCACCTGGTCTCTGTAATATCTTTGGACTGACATGGTTACAACAACACTGCATATAATATCCCTTAAGAGTTATTTTATTGTGAAACATAGTACTATTGTGCTTTTCTTACCTCTAGTACTCCCATTAGTACCAGGAACAAGATCTGTTACGTTAATGTCATGAACATAATCTGAAAATAAGAAAAACAATCTTACTATGGTTTGCTCTACTCCTGCTGTTATCCCGTTCCTTCTCTCTGTAAATTTATGGAACTGAAATGAGAGAGGTAGAATAGAGTTTTGCAGTTTCTCACTAACTCCGAAATGAATAGTCTCAATCCCATCTAAAGACACCCGATTATTTCACTTGCAGCTTGATTTAGTATTGTGGAGATAGACAAAGTAGCTTTAGATGACATGGGTCATTTACTGGTGTCAGTTCCCAGTTACCCATTGAACTTCTCCCATAGCTATGAGAGAGTCTCCAGTGATTCAGGACATTATAACCCATGATAAACATCATAGCATTGTCTTCTTTGTATAAGATGCCTTGCTTCACCTCTGGAAAAAAACTCTCATCCACTGAATTAAAGAAGTCTGTAGGGCCAAATCTGTTGTGTGTATGTATATCAATACACAAAAAACACACACAGGTCCATCAACATGGAAAACTAATTTTTTATTTATATAACACACACACACACACACACACACACACACACACACACACACACACACCACCACCGACAAG